TTACTTTAGTTTTACTTTAAATTAAAATTATAAATATTGTTATTAATAAATTTAGTAATTATTGTTATATTATAAACAATTAAAAATGTTATTAAAAGTATTGTTATTGATTATTTAATAAAATATTATAATTACTATTACTGATAAATATTATTAATTTAATTTAATTTTGGTAATTATTAATTTAATGAAAATTGTTAATAAATCCTATTCATAAATTTAATATTTACTGTTATATTAAAAATAACTAAATAATATTATTAAAACTATCATTAATGATTATTTAATATTATCTACTAGCCACTGGTTTTCGGGTCGACAATTTGATCATCCGATTCGAACGAACAGTCCATTCTGACAACAAAAATTATAGGCAAAAAATTGAGTTTGTGAGGTCCATTAAATAGTATCATGTGTTATGTAATTCGAGCGTGTGACTCATATGACATGAAAATGAAACCGTTCTAGACACTAGTTTTTGGGTCGACGGTTTAACTATTCGGTTCAAACGGACGGCCCATTCTGACAACAAAAAATTATGGAACCATTATAGCCACCAATTTTCGGGTCAACGGTTTGATCGTCTAGTTCGAACAAATGACCCATTTTGACAACAAAAATTACAAGCAAAAAATTGAGTGTGTGAGGTCCATTAAGCAGTATCATATGTGTTATGTCATTCGAGCATGTGACTCGTACGACCCGAAAATGGAACCGTTCTGGCCATCAGTTTTTTGGTTGACGATTCGAACGGACGGCCTGTTCTGACAACAAGAATTAAAAAAAAAATAAAAAAATGACTAAAAACCATTGAATGGGTCAACGGGTTAACGGTTCAACCACTCGGGTCAATGGGTCATTGACTGATTCAACGGATTTTGGTCAAGGACCGGGATTGGTGTAAAATGGAATTGGTTGTCTGGACGGTATCCAATTAAAAAAAAAAAAAAACAAACGACCCGTTCTAACAAAAAAAATTACAGGCAAAAAATTTAGTGTATAAGGTCCATTAAGCAGTACCATACGTGTTATGTTATTCGAGTGTGTGACTCATGCGACCTGAAGATGGAACCATTCTGGCCACCAATTTTTGGGTCGACGGTTCAACTGTTCGATTTGAATTGATGGCCTGTTTTGACAATAAAAATTAAAAAATTAAACAAATGACCAAAAACCATTGAACGGGTCAACGGTTTGACCGCCTAGGTCTATGGGTCATTGACTGATTCAACGATTTTTGGCTAGGGACCGAGATTAGGATAAAACGGAACTGGTTGCTTGGATGGTTCCCAATGAAAAAATTAAAAAAAAAGGTCGAAAACCATTAAACGGGTCAACAGTTTGACCGCTCGAGTCAATGAGTCGTTAACCAATTCGGCGCTTTTTGACCAAAGACTGGGTCAACGGGTCGACGGTTTCATTCCAGCCCCTACAAAGGAGAGTCACTCCACTAGTACTTTTCTATTGAAAGACTCTTGAGGGAGCCCACAAGATCAAATGACTATGGGCAAGCTTCACTAAAACGTTTCTGTCATTCTATTTTTAAGTCTATCTTCTCTAAAAGGGAGGATCACAGATGACTGCAGAAATAGTGAAGTTTGCATAGGTGATAAATAGATTAAAATTCATGGACATTCTACTTTAGAAAGCAGAATTTACATGCAGAAATTTCAGAGAAATCTTAAACCCAACAAAGCACAGTAAGATTAGTAAAACAAAGTGTTTAACCAAAAAAAGATTAGTAAAACAAAGCCAGACGCAATAGGCTTGTAAACATGAGACATTCAATGGTTGTAGATTATTATTTTTTGTGCATGCAAGTGAACTTATAGAATTAAACAAGAACTACAAAATACAATTTCAGTATACTCCAGCCTGGAAAGAACAGAGAATCTAATATTCAAAGCATGGACCGAGAAACCCAAGAAACCTTAAACCAAATCACCAATCA